GTACTTCAATGCCATTCAATGAAGTTTTTAAATTTTTCAACTATCTCGTCAAATAAGCGAGATATTGCCTGTATATGATAACTTGGGACACCCGGTATATATCATCTATTATCTACAATGTGCCATGCAGGGTCATGAAGTTTGTCGTTTTATTTGTAAATGTTATTCTGCTCCCACCACCGTGACCAGAATGGAACAAATAAAACTATTGACTACAGTCAAAATGAAGTTATTGATTTAAATATCAATATGGTTTCCAGCAATATACTGAGTGCAACAACTGACATCCTGGATCATTCAAAGCGTTTCACGGCGAATGGAATTTAGAAGTATTTGGTGAACCGAATGACAAATCATTTCAAAAAAATAATCAAGCATAGTATATCTGTCTAAAATATTTTCTTCAGTACATTGTTTTGCTAATATCATAAAGTAGTAGCTGCATCATTATTTCAAATGGAACATCTTGAATATATTTGAGAGAGAGTTCATCAAATTGGGTAGTAATGGTCATCATTTTGAACATTTTTTGAAATGATTCAGCACCATTACAAATAATAATAAGCTTTATTGGATACCCAAAAGGCTACACAGTGATTATACATTGAGTTTAAATTCATCATTATTGTATGTACAAGATATATGGAATTATTAAGTGAGTTTTCTGAATTGATTAAGCATTCCAATAGTGTGTTTTCCGGAAACTTCCGTCTTGGGTTCACTGTTTGATCTCTCTGTAAACAGTGGAATTGGATAATTTGGAGATTGGATTCGTTTTTGGAAAACTTCAATGTTAGCTTTTTCAGTCTCTCAGAATTTGGTTGCACCCTGGTCAGCCGATATAGAAGTTAATGTATGGTGAAGGGGATTTTGAGGGTGCCGGATTTCTCTAGATGCTCATGTTTGATACTGTTAGCTTTTCTTGATGATAAAAACATTTCAAATTTTCAACTCAATCTAATGAACTATCTCAAATACTTTCCATTGAACTCCAGGCATGTTCTGCTAACATTCTTGCTACATTGACCAAAAATGATGAATAAATCCATCAAAAGCACATTAGAGTAATTATTTCTTGCTATAGTACTTTCACACCTATGGAACTTGAATTGACAGGAGGACAATAAAGAATTATAAGTCAGTTATCTATCAAAATAAAGTTCATAGCCTACTATGTAAACCACTATCAAATAATAATTTTATTGAAGATGACATAACTAACAAACTGAATGAGGAAGGTATAGGGAACATATGCACAGTTGAATTATAAAATGTCTGCACTTTCCAAATAAATATTAATATACAGGTGTGTATCTAGTCAGATCACTGTATTTCTCTCTAATACATTGCCATTTTCAATATCTCACAGTACTTTGATACCCTACTTGACAAAATCTCGTAAACCCACTGAGGGTACTACAAAATAAAGCAATCAAGAACATCTATAATCTTCTCATCAGATATAATACAGACATGCTTTATAACAACTTCCACATCATGTCCTTAGAAAACATCCATGAATATCAAGTATCTCTCTATACAGGGTGTTATTTAAGTATGTGGCCAAACTTGAAGGGGTGATTCTTTGAGTGATTCTAAGACGAAAAGTTTATATAAACATAGGTCCGGTAATGCTTCGTTTTCAAATTACAGGGTGTCAAAATTTAAAAAAAAAATCGTTTTTTTCGTAAATATCTTAATAACCCTTCAACCGATTTTATTGAAATTTGGCAGTGTTATTCAAGGTCGTGAAGTGCTAATTTAACCTTAACTATTCAAAATTATCATGTCCAGTAACGTCCCGGAAGGCACTGTAACCAATATTTTTGACAGACAAAATGTGCGCCACTGATTTGTTTGCAATTTTTGTATTTGTTTCACATTGAGGAACTAAAACTACAACTTTTTTATATCTAGCATTTTTTTCGTATCTTGCTTTGTTTTTGAGAAAAAACATAAAAATCACTTCATTGCACATCCCTGTGACGAGCCGAAGGCAAGGGCTGCAATTCATGCATACATATTTTTTGTTTTTTCATTGCATTAATTTTGATAGAAAATTCCAAGACTAGAATAGAGTAAAAATATGAAAAAATATTAGTAAGACCCCAGTTTTTGATGGTTTAGTAGTTGAAATGTTTTATTGTGTTGTCACAGGGATGTGCAATGAAGTGATTTTTATGTTTTTTCTCGAAAACAAAACAAGATACGAAAAAAAATTCTAGAAATAGAAAAGTTGTAATTTTAGTTGCTCAATGTGAAACAAATACAAAAATTGCAAAAAAATCAGTGGCGCACATTCTTTCTGTCAAAAATATTGGTTACAGTGCCTTCCGGGACGCCACTGGACATGATAATTTTGATATAGTTAGGGTTAAATTAGCCCTTTGCGACCTTGAATAACACTGCCAAATTTCAATAAAATCGGTTGAAGGATTATTAAGATATTTACGAAAAAAACGATTTCTTTTAAAAATGTTGACACCCTGTATCTTGAAAACGAAGCATTACCGGACCTATGATTATATGAACTTTTCGACTTAGAATTACTCAAAGAATCACCCCTATGAGTTTGGCCACGTACTTAAATAACACCCTGTATACATCAGATTATCTGTAAAACACACCACTCAAATTTAACATTGGATTTTCACAGTGACAGACACAACTATTACACCCAGCAATCAAATGATAAAAATTCATTGAGGTTCTCATCCACAACTGGCCTAAACAGCATATTTTTCAGAGGTGTATACATATACAATAATATACCTTTAGAGATCAGAGCATTGGATACAAAGAGATTCAAAATTGTAGTTGAAAAAATGTTGAGATAATTCAACAGCACTAGTCCAACTACTTCAATGTATTGTATGTATACAATATATTCTCAGGACTTTCTTACACTTGAAAATGTACCTACATTTAGCCCTTCATCTATTCATCTCTATTATTAATACTGTGTAATATAGTTTCTGAAGTAACTTCAGTAAATTGTCTATATTCTGTATTGTATAATATATATAATCTTTGTGTAAATTAAAAATATATAAGAGGATGAATCTGTATAGAATGTGAATTCTCTTGATTCAATAAAAAAATACTTTTTTAAAAAAAAATCACATAACAATCTATTCAAAATTATTATGTAATACCAAGTGAGTTTCATTAAAAAGTAAGAGTTTCAGTCATTTTCATGAATCCCTGAATGAAAGTCAATTCTGAAACTCCCTGTATGCTGAAATAAGGTCTGGTTCATAGGTAGAATACTCAATGGTCTTATGTAGCTATGACTGGAATTACAATGTTTTTTGAATTTGCATTGTGAACAAATCATTATTTTTCATGGGTTAGTTTTTACAAAGAAATTTACAAAACAATTTGTATGACAGAAACTGTTACAGATAGGTATAGAGAATTATCAGGAAAAGTTATGAGGGATCTCATAAGGATTCCAAAAATGACATAATTTACAGGGTGTTTCATTTGATATAAACAAAGTAGTGACTACTTTCTGATATAAGCTGCAACAGTGTATTGATGAAAATATTTTAGATGGATAGTGCCAGCTTGATTATTCATGCCCAAAAATTTTCAAAATAATCTATTTTCAGTTATCCACTGCTAGATCCACTGTGAAATGCCAAATAAAGCAAATGAAATAAACAAGAAAAAATATGTTGTAACAGTATTCATAAACCTGCAGATGAAATTTGACAGTGCCCAAAAGCATTATCCAGCAATTAAAAAAGAACCATCTGTCAAAACAAAAAACGAAATAGTGAATCTGAACATTGGAATTTTTCAAGGATCAATCCTGGAACCAACCCTATACTTACTTCACATTCATTCAACCAAAAAAATCAACATCAATAATACAGAAATCAAGGAAGTGAGTGAATGCAGGTACCTAGGATTTATAATAAACAATAAATAGAGGCCACCACATATCAACAAATTGTAGAAAGAATAATATCAATGGTAGGGGGTTCATAACTTTGTGCAACATACATAAATAACAAAACAAGGAAATTAATCTACTATTTGAGTATTTGAGTATTTGAGTATTTGAGTATTTATTCAATATCCATGAACAGTCAAATGGTTTACATACATTCATTCAGGTACAAAATGAGCTTTAAAAGCTTGTGTGTGCACCAGTCACATTTATAACACAATTCACCTATGAGTGAATTTGCTAATGAATCGTCTTATAGACTATATATACTATACTATCTGGACTAATATGTACTAATGTAATATACAATCTGAATATATACAATATATGCAATATAATGTCAAACTAATAACTAGATATTGGGTTTGCTTTTTAAAATCCAAGATGATATTTTATTTTTGATTTTTTTGTATGGTTTGCCTTTGAGTTCGTTTGGCAGTATGTTATATATTTTTGGTCCTATATAAAATATACTTCGTTGAATGGTTACATAAGATGTAGTAGGAACAATTACATTTTCATTTGTTACTGATCTAGTTGTTATAACATGATTAACTTTCGGTATATTCATTTTTGATAGATATCTTACAACAGATTTTAAGTATAATTGCGAAATGTCAAGAACACCTGCATCTTCAAAGAGTTTGTCAGTAGGAAATGTTTTATTTCTGAACATTATAATTTTTAGAATGTATTTTTGTACTATGGTTTTATTGAGTCACATATTAGATATCTAATCACTGCCTAGGAAAATGCATTAGAGGATAACTTGAATATATTAAAGACAACAGGAAACAGGATTCAGTATTGTATAGATTATCTCACATCTATTGAAAAAACTGCTTTTTTATTATAACCCATATTACACAACTTGGGCAAGGGAAGTTAATGAACAAATATGTGAAATTCAATGTTTTGATGAATTCAATTAATGAGAATAATAATAATTGTCTTAGTATTTAGTGTCAACCTGGGTGTTAACCAATGTGCAGCCAGGAAGAGTACCTACCTTGTAGATTTTGTAACAATTTATTGTCTTTACCTTAATCCTTGATTTCCACCATCCATAAGCCTCTTGGGAATTAGACCTAGAGTAAACTTCTACTTCCATATTTTCTGTGAATTCCACCTTAGAATCAGGTTTGGGAGGCAATTTCACTTGTGCATTTGGAAATTTTGAATCAGGCTGCCAACTTCAAAACAATATGTATGTGATTATCAATAACAATCTAGCAAAGCATTCAAAAACTCACTTGTCTTCAAAATGTAAGAGAACCTCATCTTCAAGTACATCTATTATAAAACCCTGAAAATAAAATTAAGAAAACTTTATTATACATACCTACCTACTAGCCCAAGTGATTGGGTAGATATAGGAAAATCAGGATGTAGGGGTATGATACTGATACTAGAAGTAATGATATTTTGAATAACCTAACCTCTTGACAATAGAGGTAGAATTGAAATATTAAATAACAGGTACTAATCTAATGTCATCCACTATATTTTCACATGAAGCAACTTATGAAAGAAGATTTGCACCCTTGGTGAGTACTTGAAAAAACTTAGAACGAATTGAATTTATGCAGGAAAGAGTGAACTTTATTCCAAATTGAAAATTGGAACTTAACATAGCAGCTTGTCTCACAAAAAATCACTTAAATTGAAGTTTCCCACCTTATACAGGGCACCGTTTTCGCCGCAAACTTCCACAGCTAAGTCCTCCATGTTGATTCGATAGTTTTAGAAGAGAAAAACTATTTAGGTTTTGGTTTGTGTACTTATTTACTTTTTTAGAAGTGCTGGTGTGGTTCTCCTTCTACCTTCCCGACAATCCCCACATTCCCGATTCTCGACACTACTCGACACTCGACAGTACTGAACCTGAATGACGAATGATTGAAGTCCATATTGTCAATGTCAATGTCGTTTCCATACGTGGGCATTGCGTTGGGCATTGCGGAAGTTCAAGACTTCACATCCACCATAAATGAGACATATTAGACAAGGTTGGTAGAAATGATGATTATTTTCAGTTCTACCAACCTTGATATGAGACCCACAAAGCTTGCGTCTAACCACACCAATGACAGCTAAATATCTAGACTGTCGAACGGGTTGAATATGATATTTTTTCTCCGATAGGGGTTACGGGGATTCTTTCGATAGGCAAATCGTTCCTTAGGTCTGTTCGAATGATTTCTACCCTCTCGTCACAGCAGTTTCTCATTACACCCTTAAAATATTTTTTTATTTGTTGCAGGTTGAATTTGATAAATGTATTTTCTCCAATAGGAATTGAGGGGATTGTTTCCATGGTAAAATGGTCAATTAATTCAGTGGGTGTGTTAAAATAATTTTATTCTGTTTTATCGCAGCAGTTCAGCAGTTCCTTATAATACCCTCAAAATATTTTTTTGTATTTGGATGCTAGAAGAAACATGTTGTATGCTACTGGGTCTTCGGCAATGTTCGTAGATTTTGGCTGCTATCTTTGGTTATCATTTTCACACAGATTTCGTGTCAAATATCCGCAAGAGAGCGTATAGAAAAATGGTGGAAACAAGAAAAACAGAACGCTACAGCGCGGGACCGCGAGTACTGATCATCCCAACGAATATCCTTAATTGGCGCAGAATCAAGTCTGCAGAGAATTCACGGCCGAGAGCTTCGCTCCTTGAGAAGAAAACATCATTGAAATAGCGAATCCCTATCGACCTCAACAGTAAAACATGTCATCAACACAGTTATTTTTCAGGGAGTAAGAAAAATATCCCCTTTATTAACAAACTAATTGTTGAAATTATCCCAAAAAAGGCTTATTCTCTGTGTTCTATGTTTATTGTTATTTATTCCTGTGAGCAATGTGAGCTACCTACTGATTGTCCTATGAACCCATGATGCCCAAACTTTAAAAAATGTATTAAGGAGTACCTGAGACAAAGAGACTTGCCATGATTATTTTTATTTTTCTATATTATTTAATCAAGAAACTGTTAGTGTTATGCTGTGTATTGTTATGTTGTTTGGAATTGTAAATATTAGGATGTATCCTATATTGAATAAATTCTATTCTACTACGCTACTGGCGCTTTATCTGTCGAACTCCAGTCGTCAGGATGTTTATGTTTGTGCATCCTTGTTTGTGCTCATACTTCAATCATATGCCATTGTCAGTTGTTCTTTATCTTTACATTTCTGTGATAATATACTTTTACTAGCAGTTCTAATAAAAACGAGTTCAAGAACGTCTATACGCCTTTTTAAGTTATTTTATCACTAATTAATCTTTTGCTGGTCCTCAATAAACCGTCTTTCTGAAATGAATATTTTTCGGAAAATCACTCGAGAGAACAGAATGAAAAAGTCGCAGGCATTGAGCCCAGGTTGCCGGTGTGGAGCTCTAAAGCTCAAGCAACTACGCCACGCACGTACCTGGAGATTGATGATTGGTGCATGATAATGTAGTCGCTCTTCCACCGCGCTGATCATTTTTTTTTCTCCTGTCTGTAAGCGCAAGTGAACATCCTCAGTATTGCCAAACAGATTATATGATACCTAGTAAAGTCATGTAGCTATTTTATAAGATAGCAGCTTTTATATTGATAGCAAAATTTTACATATCAGGTACATCATAGTTACGTTACATTTTTATATGAATATGGGGTTCACATATTCTAGAATTATTGTTGTTGAATATTTTATATAAATTCGAGGTTTACCTTTTTTAGAGTTATGGAATATTTACGTAAATATTTTATATAAAAAAGTTCCGTTGATGTTATATAACAGGAATGTAAATATATAACAGATGTGTTTGCTGGGTATAATGAAGAAAAATGTGTCCAACATTGTGTGATATATATAAATTGTCCAATGATGGGAAAAGGAGGTGAAATTTGTAACTTTATAGTGAAATATCTTAATAAATAATGGTTTCCCAGGTAACAAGCTGACGTCATTTGTACATCATTATCACGTCAGGCCTGACGTCAGGATGACTTCCGAAATGACGTCATAATGACGTTTATATGACCTTCTAAGTCAAAGACGAATGACGTCATTTTCATGTCGTCAAAATGACGTCATCCTAATGACGTCAAAATGACGACATCCTAATGGCGTCAAAATGACGTGATCTTCACGATTATTTATATCACTGAAATCTTCTGCATGTTTCAGTTCATTTTGTGCTATTTCGAAATTTTCTGTAGGTAAAAAAAACACTGTTGCATTAGGGTTGTATCAAGATTATCAGAAAAGATGAGATTTTTTTTGTATAATTTATATTGATGTTCCTTTACCACATTAAATGCAAAATAATATTATAGGTAGGTACTATAAATACCAGTTTCATCAAATGTTCTTTTTATTGGGAACTTATCCCATTCGGATGATGCACTCAAGAGATTTCTCAGAACCCTATGGTATTCCTTCAATGGCGTCCAATTCACATTCTGCTTTTTCGGCATACACCACTTGTCTGAAATAATGACCATGCTGCCATCCTCAAATTCTACTACTTGATATATGAATATGAATAAGTATGACCACCACACCACACCACAAAGATAGCCGAATAACATGATAATGATGGCCTTCTATGTATTGTTATTTTGTTGTTATGGTTGTTATGCCCCGCGAAATACTATCTAAGGAAAATATTGAAATATTGTAAATGGAATTCATACCCGTTAAGTGAACATCATTTGTCGGCAAATTTCAGATACTCAATATTTATTTTAATGACTCTAGATCAACCTTGAAATTGGTATCTCCAAGAATGCGCTAATTATTGAGACCGACAAACGAATATGATTTGATTTATTGTTATTGTCATATGAATCTATCCATGAGTAAACTAAAACCAAATAACAAGAATGACGTAACTTGCTTTGTTGTTTTTGACTATAAAAACACTTCATTGTAAAAAATGGAAATTCAATTGATCATTAACTCTCGAGACGTCAACTAGTAAAGATGTAGCTCCAATAGAATCAGAATAGATCGCGAAGTGCATAGAAGTACCTATCTATAGTGGTTATTAGAATCAGTGCAAGTGAGAAAGAGATTATGGCAATTCTTTCGACTCCCAAGCAAGTTGGTATGTCTTTGTGGTTACATTTAACAGACTATAGAACTGAAAGTGCTATTGACATTCAACATAACTTTCTAACGATAATATAATGGACAGTTTGAAGAAACTATAGTCAGTCAACCTATATTAGTGTCAAGGGTTAGGATTCTGTTTTATAATTAGACGTATAAGGGTTTTGCAAACTAACTAGATGAGAGGTATCGAAATAAGGGATGATTAGAGAAGTTTTAGCTATTAGTATATGAGCTTAGAGTAGAAGTAGGGTTGAGTTTTGATATAGATAGTTTAACTGAGTGTATTCTTTCAAGAGGTATATAAAGGGAAGTGTATTTGTTGTTTCGGAGAATATTAACGTTGAGTTGAGAGTTTTCATTGTAGGAAAACCTAGGGTGAATAAATACTGGTTCATGATTATTGATTGTATATTGAATATTATTGATTTTATGAATTTATAGTGATTATTTGAGTTTCTAGATATTTTCTTAAATTTGAGATATAAGTGAATAGACATCAGAAGTTTGAGTTTTCTGAATATTTGAATTTGTTAGGACTCTAATCGTGAATGTGGTTTATTTCTTTGATTATAGTTTATTAAGTCAATATTTGTTTTTCTCCTGCATTCTGCCACCATCATAGTCCGAACCCACACAATTTATTATCTGCTGTAGATTCTACACCCTGTATAAACATACCAGCCGCTCGGTATATAATCTGACAACATCTCCCTTATACAGGGGTGGATCAACACATTGGTGTCAGTCGTGTGGGGTTAATTTAATCAATTTAGGGTGGTTTTTAAGGGTTGATCTTGTTGTAGAATGTTGAGAATCTAAATTTCAATTTTTCTGGTTATTTCGAGCTATGATGGTATAATATAGGTAACCCCTATATTGAGGCAAGTCTGGAGAGAGCAAATTCAAAAAGAATAAGAAAATTTTGCACGGTTTATTTTTGACTTGAAATTTAAAAGGTAGCTTATGACCTATAGTTTTGAAAGGATTATTGAACAGTGTGACGGTCCGGTGTAGTATTGAATTGAGTAGGAAGTATATCCGTTATTGATTTTCATGCCTGATCCAAATTTACCTGTTCGGGTACCTGTAGCTCCGGTACGAGGAATAATTCTACCAGTGTCAATAAATTTGGATTCGATACCATTTTATAGTGGGCAAACAAACGTAGATGATTTCATTGAAAATATTGAGGAAACAGCGGTAATTGCAAATTGGACAGAATCTCAGAAAGTTTCAATAACCAGGATAAAATTAAAGGGCTTAGCTAAACAATTTGTTGACTCAGAACCTGATTTGAAAGTAACACGTGAATGGGAACTATTGAAAGCTAGATTGAAGAAACATTTTTCTGTGAGTCAGATTCCAGGACAGTCTCAAAGAAATTTCATGGACTGTAAGCACAAGGAGAAAATTGTAGGCAGTTTCTTGCTCGTTTGAAATTACTAGCAGCTAAAACTTTGAACAGAACGGGAGATAGATATGTTGATACTATTTTAGAACAAAATTTAGATCGCGACACTACAACTAATTTTGTTATGGGGCTATTGAATCCGGTGAGAAAAAGAGTTTTAAGCGCCCAACCTACCTCTGTTGCGGATGCTTTGAAACTTGCTGAACTATAGAAGAGAACATAGAAAATATTACGAAAGATCAGGAACGAGCGAGGGAACGAGGAACTTCAAATGTCCTCTGTTATTCAACAATAGATGAGAATCAGAGCAAAAGTTATACATGTCAGAAAATAGGTCATTTTGCGAACGAATTTAGGCAGAACTTTGTGAAAAGAATTTGTCACGGTTGTAAGAAGCTAGGACATTTGATAAAGGACTGCAAATTCTTAC